CCCCAGTCGGCCTCAGCAGATGGCCGCTCACACTGAGCCTGGTTCTGCTGGAGGTTTCTTCCTGTTAAAAGGGAGTTTTTCCTCTCCACTGTCACTACAAGCATGCTTAGTGTGAGAGATTGTATTTGAGTAAATGAGTCGATGCAATCAACTGGTTTTCCTTAGATAGAAAATTTTGAATCAATTTGACTGTATGATCGGTGAACTGTAAAGTGCCTTGAGATGACATGTGCTGTGAATTGGCACAGTAGAAATAAACTGAATTGAACTGAATTTATTATAAAACAGACGATCTAGAGCGAGGGGTGTCAAACTCATTTCTGTATCCGACAACTTCTGCAATATCGAGTCTTGTAAAAGGGCCAGCTGCAGCTTTCATTTTCATAAGAGCATTATAACTTTTCTCTCATTTATTTAGCAGTTTTAGCTACTTTGAACACCATATAAAAACATATGCCTCTATTTATGACATGATTTGCCTTTTTCTGCTCTCGTGGGCAAGAGGCCTTCAGTTTCACACAGGTGATCAAGATGAATTGTGGAGATCAACTTACTAACTTAAGAGATTAACTTCCATACAGAAAGCCCATATTCTGATCTTCAGCTACCACAGTATACATGTCAGATTAAATAATACTACTTATACTTTAGCGATAGTATCAAGGTGTTACTTTAATTTATGTCTCATAACATGTCCGTCTTCATTTTATCTCCTCTTTCTTTCATTTTTTCTCCTTTTCTTTCTGTTTTTCTTTCCTGTTCTACTTAAATTGCAGTGTCCATATAATCTCTAATACTCTCTTCATGAATTATAATAAAGTTATTTATATCTATAAATCAAGTGTGACACTATGGTGATAGGCATACTGCTCCACTTGTGAAAGCAAATTCTGTTGGGTTCTTTTTTGCATCAAGACAATTATTCTTATTGCCACATTGCCACACAGGATATAGTTAAAAAAATAAAAAAATAAAAGATGTGGGGACTAAGATGACCATGGAGGAAGGTATTGGTGCATCTGATGAACCCTATATGGGTTTATTTGGTTGGATGTTTATTTATCCATTTCTTCATTTAAAGAAAAACATGACTCTTTTTGTTTTGATTTCTATTAAAAGGATTTGTATTTATGTACCCAGGGCTGCCAGCTTTTTACCAAACCTTGGGGTGAGATTTTCAAATAGTTTGGACAGGAAACCCAGTCAGGGTTCGATCAAATGGTTCTGAGGAAAGGTGCAGCTACAGGTTGGAGGTTTTGAGAGCATTCAACTGAAACTAAGTAGCAGTAGTAGTAAATGTTACTGAACAACAAGTGCTCCGTTATGTGGAACATTTTTCTCACAATATATATTATTTTCTATATTCTGGTGATTTTTAGAGAATTGAAGTAAAGCAAAATGGGTCCTACTAAAATACTTGCATCATAAATATACTGTAAACTAACAATTTCACAACTTTGTTTATTAATTATTCTCTGCAGGTCAAGTTAATTAAACAATGAGGAACTAATAAGCTACGTATTACTGGATTACTGGCACTGATACAGGAACCAGTGCAATGAAAACATATGCAAACTACACTGTGTATAAACATTTGGTAATATTGGTGATCATTATTTTATTAGTTTTTCTTACATTTGCAAAACGGCTAAACAATTCAGACCTTCTAGGAGGCGTAGATTTTTTTTAAACTCACCATGACAGGAGACAGCACTTCTCTGGATGTTTCATTTAGAAAATATGATGGAAATTAAGTAAACATTTCCAATTGACCAAAAAAAGGATAAATGAATGAGATAAGAAATACAGGTGCTGGTCATAAAATTAGAATATCATGAAAAAGTAGATTGATTTCAGTAATTCCATTTAAAAAGTGAAA